CTGTATCTAAGTGGAGTTTTAATTCTCCATGTTTCCGGGCTAATTACTCTGTCCTTAATGGGATTTTTTAAGCATATGTAAAAAATATCAAAGTGGACATGTATCTTTTAAATTATTTCAGAGTATAACTAGGATTTAAAATTCAAAAAAGCAAGTTTTGTCTATCACACTGCATCTGGATAGGGAAAATTACGCACTTTTTAAGACAACTTAAACAATAAAAAACGTAATTTACAAAAAATTCTATCATTCAATATTTTTTAATTTACGTTGAAATGCAAATCCTTCAAATTATTGAATAACTGTAAAAATTTCAAATGATGAAGCTGACCTCATTATTTCACAGGACATCGTTAAAGAGGACATAAGCATGACAAAAATGTGTCATGTTACATTTCTCGACTACGAGAAAAACCAACTATGACGTCACAGGTAAGCTAAATAAGCGAAATAAGATATACCTACATATGATTTCCGTCATCAGCCATGCAAAAATAATTTTTGTGTTCCCCATTTCTCAAAATATTTCATCATATACTGATTATGAACTGTTTTTACATAATACAGTGGCTTCCATTTTATCGGATAGCGGTTTAACGAATATTTCGGCTATTTCAATATAATATCAGAGCACAAAACCATTTCTTATATATTTATTAATAATTTCACCTGATATTCTGATGAAAAAATACTGGAATTTTGTTTTATCCCATACAAAAATTTGGACTATCATAGTGTTTTTTGATAATCAGCACTTTGTTCACACCTCCACAGAGCTCGACATTAACGCTTGTCCGGTACCAGCGAAAAAAAATTACGGACAAGTGAATATTGCTGGGCACTTGTCCGATTGGACAAGTGCATTTTAATATAAAGAAGTCTTCAAATAATAAAAAGAACGACTATTGAAAGTTCATCGGTAAAGACGTAAGCAGTACATAAAAAAACGAACTTCGATCCCAATATGGATCGCTATGTAATTGAGTTCACACTTGATCGGGATCGAAGTTCACTAATTGCATACTACTGCAAAGGAGGGCATGAAGTTACGTCGAGTTACGAAGTTTAGGTTCTTTTTGATAATTGTGAACATTTATGTTGTTGTCAGGATAGAAAGTCTAGATAAAAGTTTGTTTTTATGTGTTTGTTGTATTTATCAATAACATCACGAATGAATCACATGTAATGGACTTTATATTAGTTTTCAAGTTGACAGTATTGTATCTTTATTGAACAAATTTCGGACCAGTGAAGTTGAAGTTCGGACAAGTAAATGTCTTGGTCACTTGCCCGATTGGACAAGTAAGGGGAAAAAATTAATGTCGAGCCCTGCTCCACCTTCGTATGTGAAGCCTTTGTTTACACAGTTTGACACCAATTACCTTGACTGGCTTGAGTACGACAATGAGGGGATTAGTTACGCCTGGACGCACACAGGCACCTTACCTGTGTCAATAGTGGGCATAGTAAATAGATATGTTTTGATTACAGTTGTGGTGATCAGCTTGGGTTCAATGATGCACTTGTTAATTATGACAGTTATCCACAATTTTTTCGGCGTGAAATTTTAATTATTGAACTGATTAGCTTGTGTATGACAATTTGCTTGGATAATGAAATAACCCTATTCAATCGTTTAACTTGGTAAATTGGCTTAATATTTATTCACTTTTCAGTGCAAAATTTATGGTAAAAATCACAAATGGCTCGTTCTATAAAAATACGTCTCAAAATTCATACCAACTTTCTCGACATGGCTCTCAAAATCTCTCTTCAGCAGACAAGAACGAGACTGGTAAACTCACACACAGTATAAAATACATAACCATATTAAAGAAACAAATCCAAAGGAAACAATTACATATATTTAATATTTTTGTTTATTTTCAATTTACAATCTATCCAGGGAAAAATAGTTTACGGTTATTAGTCAAGCATTTAGTCTACTTCCTTTTCCAAAATGGCGACCATCGAAGAAGGAATGTAAACATGTGCTGAAGAAAGATGGCAATATCTATCAAAGAATATACTCTATACGTCAATTTATTTGATAAAAAATTTCATATTAAATTCATAAGTAAGTGAAATAAATTATTTTTAGTAAAGTCATTAAGTAAACATGTCAAAAGAAAACTAAGTGCAAGCTTGAAATTTGCTAGCTACGATGTATTATCAATACATGTAGCTCTATACATCTATCTTTGGACTCGGTATGGAGCAATCGGCTATTCTAATTTTCGGCTATTCGGATAAAACTATGCTGACAACTTGACTATTCGATAAAACGGGAACCACTGTAATACCACCCCTGTGTTCACCGAGTATGATCTTGCTGTACTAACAGATCATGTATGACGTCACCGACTTGTTGGACACGCAGTTTAGGGAAACAGAGGAGTGGATCAATCTTTTTCATAATTTGTTAATGTTTACAAGAACGTAAAAACTTTTTAATTTTTTTATATAAGATGGTAATTAAAGTTAAAAAATTGTCAAAAAATTATACAAGAATTAATGCTTTACACATATTGCACTTATATAAACGGAGACTATGATGTAGTTAAACAGTCATGTGACCATGTGTCCTTCATCCCCTTAAAATGAATTCATACAAACACCCAGCATATCGGACCTTTATGGCACTCTAAACAGATATTAATATACTGTACATGTATTACGAAATACAAGTATCAAGACTTCAAGTACAATTTTTTCTATAACAAAATTAAGCTATCTGTGTTTAAGCTGAATGCAAGTATTTTACATTTTTTAATGATGAAAAATTAATAAAGAAAAAAAAACAAGAAAGAACAAATGTTTGAGAGTTCTGACTATATACTGAATTGCGATTGACTTAAAAAGAACATTCAATGGTGGACTTTTTTTTTTCCTTTACCGTGTTATACTTGAATTCTTAATAATGAACTTGAACATCCTAACATTACTTGTATTATATTATCTATCGCAGTGTTACTGCTAGTGGTGTTCCAATCATCGATTATAATCGAAAATCAGTCGATTGTTGGCATAATCCAAGCGCTCGATTACAAAATTTCTATTCCGATTAATCGGGTTATTTATTTTATTTTACAAGCGTAATAGTTTTCAAGCCAAATATTCCAGCCGCGACTTTTCTATTAACTTATTTGTGTATCGTAATGGCGTAGATGAACAGACATTGTATTCATACCCGGGTAACAACGCTAATTCCCGGGTATGGACATACTTTGGATTCTACAAAATGAATGAAGAACCAGCTGGATTAGATCGAACGTTCTATCGTTAAAATATTGTCCTAAGGACTAGGGCTTGTCCCGAAACACAGTTAGATTATTCTAACTACAGCTGGACCACCACAGAAAGTAGTTATTCATCCATTCTTACCATTTGATAAACTAAATTGACAGACTTTGTAAATGTCCGATTATAATTGATAATTAGTTAGTTACAGTAGCCCGATCATCGATTATGAAATTCTTACCGATTCCCATCACTAGTTACTGCATATTAATTCTAATGCACGAAGAATGTTTATATCAATATACCGTTCATTCTGACTTTGTGGGCAGAATTATGAATTTCATAATACTAGAGAAGATAAGCTACTTATCTTCACGAAGGCAAATTTAATAAAAATTTCAGATAATATGCCGCAAATTCTAAGGAACATTATATCAAATTTTTCTGAACATGTTTTCCCGTAAAAATTTTTATGCAGTAAACCCGCGACCAACCTTAAACTGTGCTTACGATCAAACAAGTTCGAAAGTTCCTCGTTCTCTCGTCTAATTATCATAAATATGTGTTATATTCAATTGCTCTACTAATAATAACAAGATACTTACTGTCTTACAGCTCTTTACCCCTGCTAAACGCCGCCATTGTCCTCCCACAATGCATTGCGTGTATCGCTACACCGTATTGTGGGATATTCCAATTGACATTTATAGATACACAAAATGTTGAAAGCGAGGGACTTAGACCGACTGTTCTAAAAATAGATTTTGCGTTGTGGGACATTTTTCTATATATCCTTATGGGTCAAAAAAATTATTTTTTTTGTTTTTTATGGTAGGAATAGCATTTCCAACATTTCTGTGAAGTTTAGACTACATGGTTTATGGGTCAAAATATAGATGACCCATAAACCACCTAAGGATCCCACAACGTGAGTCTGAGATACGCCAAATATCCCATAACACGCCTCTTGTATAACTATATATATATATATATATATATATATATATATATATATATATATATATATATATATATATATATATATATATATATATATATATATATATAAACCTCTTTATCCACAGCATAAAAAGGAGTATATTTTCATTTTGCTATATATACCATATAACATTTCATGCTTTTAAGAAATGTGAAATGTGCTAAAAATGAAAATTAATACATTACAATGTTCTATCGGTAACGATCCTCTAATAAAACTAATGTCCGAATAACTGTAACTCTCTTCCATTCTCACATGTAGTGTAGGGCAGCGCCGCAAGAATTCCATCGGCATCGAAAGGAAGTTTTTTGACTTGCCTAGACGGCTGAGCGGTCTAGCGCGCTGTTCCTGTACTGCTAGGAGACAGATTCCGTGCGTCGAGAGTTCAAACCCGGGTTGGGGCGGAAGTGAGTATCCTTATAAAAGTGAATTTCTTTGTACTTTATATATATATATATATATATATATATATATATATATATATATATATATATATATATATATATATATATATATATATATATATATATATATATATATATATATATATATATATATATATATATATAGTTATACAAGAGGCGTGTTATGGGATATTTGGCGTATCTAATAATTTTTTGACCCATAAGGATATATAGAAAAATGTCCCACAACGCAAAATCTATTTTTAGAACAGTCGGTCTAAGTCCCTCGCTTTCAACATTTTGTGTATCTATAAATGTCAATTGGAATATCCCACAATACGGTGTAGCGATACACGCAATGCATTGTGGGAGGACAATGGCGGCGTTTAGCAGGGGTAAAGAGCTGTAAGACAGTAAGTATCTTGTTATTATTAGTAGAGCAATTGAATATAACACATATTTATGATAATTAGACGAGAGAACGAGGAACTTTCGAACTTGTTTGATCGTAAGCACAGTTTAAGGTTGGTCGCGGGTTTACTGCATAAAATTTTTTACGGGAAAACATGTTCAGAAAAATTTGATACAATGTTCCTTAGAATTTGCGGCATATTATCTGAAATTTTTATTAAATTTGCCTTCGTGAAGATAAGTAGCTTATCTTCTCTAGTATTATGAAATTCATAATTCTGCCCACAAAGTCAGAATGAACGGTATATTGATATAAACATTCTTCGTGCATTAGAATTAATATGCAGTAACTAGTGATGGGAATCGGTAAGAATTTCATAATCGATGATCGGGCTACTGTAACTAACTAATTATCAATTATAATCGGACATTTACAAAGTCTGTCAATTTAGTTTATCAAATGGTAAGAATGGATGAATAACTACTTTCTGTGGTGGTCCAGCTGTAGTTAGAATAATCTAACTGTGTTTCGGGACAAGCCCTAGTCCTTAGGACAATATTTTAACGATAGAACGTTCGATCTAATCCAGCTGGTTCTTCATTCATTTTGTAGAATCCAAAGTATGTCCATACCCGGGAATTAGCGTTGTTACCCGGGTATGAATACAATGTCTGTTCATCTACGCCATTACGATACACAAATAAGTTAATAGAAAAGTCGCGGCTGGAATATTTGGCTTGAAAACTATTACGCTTGTAAAATAAAATAAATAACCCGATTAATCGGAATAGAAATTTTGTAATCGAGCGCTTGGATTATGCCAACAATCGACTGATTTTCGATTATAATCGATGATTGGAACACCACTAGCAGTAACACTGCGATAGATAATATAATACAAGTAATGTTAGGATGTTCAAGTTCATTATTAAGAATTCAAGTATAACACGGTAAAGGAAAAAAAAAAGTCCACCATTGAAGGGGGGTGGGGGTTATCGGTAATGTTCTTTTTAAGTCAATCGCAATTCAGTATATAGTCAGAACTCTCAAACATTTGTTCTTTCTTGTTTTTTTTTCTTTATTAATTTTTCATCATTAAAAAATGTAAAATACTTGCATTCAGCTTAAACACAGATAGCTTAATTTTGTTATAGAAAAAATTGTACTTGAAGTCTTGATACTTGTATTTCGTAATACATGTACAGTATATTAATATCTGTTTAGAGTGCCATAAAGGTCCGATATGCTGGGTGTTTGTATGAATTCATTTTAAGGGGATGAAGGACACATGGTCACATGACTGTTTAACTACATCATAGTCTCCGTTTATATAAGTGCAATATGTGTAAAGCATTAATTCTTGTATAATTTTTTGACAATTTTTTAACTTTAATTACCATCTTATATAAAAAAATTAAAAAGTTTTTACGTTCTTGTAAACATTAACAAATTATGAAAAAGATTGATCCACTCCTCTGTTTCCCTAAACTGCGTGTCCAACAAGTCGGTGACGTCATACATGATCTGTTAGTACAGCAAGATCATACTCGGTGAACACAGGGGTGGTATTACAGTGGTTCCCGTTTTATCGAATAGTCAAGTTGTCAGCATAGTTTTATCCGAATAGCCGAAAATTAGAATAGCCGATTGCTCCATACCGAGTCCAAAGATAGATGTATAGAGCTACATGTATTGATAATACATCGTAGCTAGCAAATTTCAAGCTTGCACTTTTGTTTTCTTTTGACATGTTTACTTAATGACTTTACTAAAAATAATTTATTTCACTTACTTATGAATTTAATATGAAATTTTTTATCAAATAAATTGACGTATAGAGTATATTCTTTGATAGTTATTGCCATCTTTCTTCAGCACATGTTTACATTCCTTCTTCGATGGTCGCCATTTTGGAAAAGGAAGTAGACTAAATGCTTGACTAATAACCGTAAACTATTTTTCCCTGGATAGATTGTAAATTGAAAATAAGCAAAAATATTAAATATATGTAATTGTTTCCTTTGGATTTGTTTCTTTAATACGGTTACGTATTTTATACTGTGTGTGAGTTTACCAGTCTCGTTCTTGTCTGCTGAAGAGAGATTTTGAGAGCCATGTCGAGAAAGTTGGTATGAATTTTGAGACGTATTTTTAAAGAACGAGCCATTTGTGATTTTTACCATAAATTTTGCACTGAAAAGTGAATAAATATTAAGCCAATTTACCAAGTTAAACGATTGAATAGGGTTATTTCATTATCCAAGCAAATTGTCATACACAAGCTAATCAGTTCAATAATTAAAATTTCACGCCGAAAAAATTGCAGATAACTGTCATAATTAACAAGTGCATCATTGAACCCAAGCTGATCACCACAACTGTAATCAAAACATATCTATTTACTATGCCCACTATTGACACAGGTAAGGTGCCTGTGTGCGTCCAGGCGTAACTAATCCCCTCATTGTCGTACTCAAGCCAGTCAAGGTAATTGGTGTCAAACTGTGTAAACAAAGGCTTCACATACGAAGGTGGAGCAGGGCTCGACATTAATTTTTTCCCCTTACTTGTCCAATCGGGCAAGTGACCAAGACATTTACTTGTCCGAACTTCAACTTCACTGGTCCGAAATTTGTTCAATAAAGATACAATACTGTCAACTTGAAAACTAATATAAAGTCCATTACATGTGATTCATTCGTGATGTTATTGATAAATACAACAAACACATAAAAACAAACTTTTATCTAGACTTTCTATCCTGACAACAACATAAATGTTCACAATTATCAAAAAGAACCTAAACTTCGTAACTCGACGTAACTTCATGCCCTCCTTTGCAGTAGTATGCAATTAGTGAACTTCGATCCCGATCAAGTGTGAACTCAATTACATAGCGATCCATATTGGGATCGAAGTTCGTTTTTTTATGTACTGCTTACGTCTTTACCGATGAACTTTCAATAGTCGTTCTTTTTATTATTTGAAGACTTCTTTATATTAAAATGCACTTGTCCAATCGGACAAGTGCCCAGCAATATTCACTTGTCCGTAATTTTTTTTCGCTGGTACCGGACAAGCGTTAATGTCGAGCTCTGTGGAGGTGTGAACAAAGTGCTGATTATCAAAAAACACTATGATAGTCCAAATTTTTGTACGGGATAAAACAAAATTCCAGTATTTTTTCATCAGAATATCAGGTGAAATTATTAATAAATATATAAGAAATGGTTTTGTGCTCTGATATTATATTGAAATAGCCGAAATATTCGTTAAACCGCTATCCGATAAAATGGAAGCCACTGTATTATGTAAAAACAGTTCATAATCAGTATATGATGAAATATTTTGAGAAATGGGGAACACAAAAATTATTTTTGCATGGCTGATGACGGAAATCATATGTAGGTATATCTTATTTAGCTTATTTAGCTTACCTGTGACGTCATAGTTGGTTTTTCTCGTAGTCGAGAAATGTAACATGACACATTTTTGTCATGCTTATGTCCTCTTTAACGATGTCTTGTGAAATAATGAGGTCAGCTTCATCATTTGAAATTTTTACAGTTATTCAATAATTTGAAGGATTTGCATTTCAACGTAAATTAAAAAATATTGAATGATAGAATTTTTTGTAAATTACGTTTTTTATTGTTTAAGTTGTCTTAAAAAGTGCGTAATTTTCCCTATCCAGATGCAGTGTGATAGACAAAACTTGCTTTTTTGAATTTTAAATCCTAGTTATACTCTGAAATAATTTAAAAGATACATGTCCACTTTGATATTTTTTACATATGCTTAAAAAATCCCATTAAGGACAGAGTAATTAGCCCGGAAACATGGAGAATTAAAACTCCACTTAGATACAGTAGGGCATAGTAATTGTCAATCAATATCTCCAAAATAAGGTAAGAAACCTAATGATATAACTGCTTTAAGATATGTGGGACATACTTAATTAGAAATATACAAAATATGAAAAAAATTGAATGACAAGTATTTTTTCAGCTCAAGGTCCTTCTCCTCCTTATTATAACATGTTTAACATGCATTTCACTGATAAATCAATTCCTTGCTAGCCTGCTTATAAATAGAGAACAACTTTATTAGATTCAAATACAAAATATTTTTTTAAAAAAGAGGAAAATGCATTTAATTAAATTTCATCCATTTTTAGTGTTTAGGGTTGATGTTATCCTTAAAGTAACAAATGTGTTGTTTTTTTTTGGCTGTGATGAGCAAACATGGTGCATTACACACCTTCCCTTCATTGCAAATTTATGTGCATACATACAGCCTTTCAATTTTTCAATGTAGCAATTTACTGAAACCGTTACTTTCATTTTGCATGCCATATTTTTAACACTGAATCAATTTGATTGACCTTTAGTAGTTTAGTATTATTTTCAATATAAAATGAATTCCATGCATTTTGCATCACATTTATTATGTTTTATAAGTTTGTTCTTATACATTACACATATAATCAGAGCAGAATAAACTTATAATCCTCTAGGTTCATACATACAGTGTGCGAAACTAATCTGGAGAATGAAATAGCCCATTTGACTATCTCATTTGAAATTGGGATAGACCGTAGACAAATAGGAATGTCCAAAGAAAGTAAATTAGGAAAAAATGTGCTCTTGTTATTGTTAAATTTTTTAAAATTTATTCATTTATATTCTTATTGAAGTATCTGCTATATATTTTCATGATTATCTAGTGAAAATTAAATATAATCATGCAGTGTTCATGCATTTCACACCCCAAAAAACTGTGCAATTATTCAGACTCGTCGTATATGAACTTCACTCTGCAGACCAGCTAATATTTGTGAAAGACACAAACTCTAATTTCATCTTTATAGCTTTCCCTTTTCTCGGATTCATTATTTTATTTTCAATTTTTTTGGTTGTCTTTTTGTTGATTCAATTTGTGTTTTAATGCAGTGCTTCCTGCAGTCAGGATTTGTAGCATGCCTGATATACATAAACAGCA